AGGCATTAATGTTTGCCTACAAAACCACCACTGGCTCTGCTCTTTACCTAAATTCATTACTTCAGACTTATGTGCCCTCTAGAAGCTGAACGTCGCTTTATTGTGCCATCCCAAAGAGGCACAAAATCACTTTCAGGGACTTTTAAATTAAATGCTCCCTCCTGTTGGAATGACCTGCATTAACTGTCCCAGATAAGGGTATGAATACTTAAGAAATTGAATCATTGAAGTTTTTTATTTGTAATAAATTTGCGAAGATGTTAAAAACCTGTTTTTTTGCTTTACCATTATGGTGTATGGAGTATAGATTGATGTGGGGAAAAAAAGTAATTTAAAGCAGTTTAACAAGGCAGCAACATAACAAAACGTGAAAAAAATGAAGGGGTTTGAATACTTTCGAAAGGCACTGTATATATATATATACTGAAAAAACTGGAGTATTTAGCTTGAGAGTTGCATGGAGCAGCGAGAAAAAGTGAGATATTCAAGTGTGCAGTTTTCTTTTTCTATTGTGTAATAAGCTGCAAAGCCCATTGGGAAGGTTTGTTGAGTGAAATAGAGCCCTTCAGGAAGGATTCATTAATATTCACAATTCTTTAGAACTGTCGAGACTATATTTACAAGAGCTTCTGCTGGTAATGACAACACAATAACCTGGTTTTAATTCAGTTTATTGAACAAAATATCTTACAATGTCTTGGATATACATATATACAAATATTACATTCTGATAAAACTTCAATCTGTTCTCAGTCTTGATAACCATCATTCAATGCACTTGAACGTGTTAAGAAAATTTCAAATACACATCACCAGTCTCAAAAATCTGAATATAGAAAGCACAAAAAATAAGAATTTCACCTGGAAAAATGTACTTAACCATCAGCACAAGAAAACATCTGTAAAATAAAAAAAAACTATACAATTTTTGCAGTTTTAAAGCAGGTATGAAATATACCTGAACTGACCTCCCTCAAAAGGTTTTATAATGTGTTGTTCCATGCAAGAGCGAGAAACCCTTTCAGACACAGAACAAATATATGAAACAGTGGCTCTGATCCTGGTGACTTCCTGTCATCAACAGTGCTCTCAGATAACATAGACATCTGTCTTCTCTCCCAGAAGCCAATACGTTGTCATTTTGCCTTTACCCTTAAAGAGAGTAACAGCACCGATCAATAGCATGCATCAATGAGCACTCGGACAGCTTGCTGGAGGAACTAATCAACAATGAGCAATATGCTCTTTCTTAATGAAAAGTCTAAAGAATATAAAGAATCCTGCAAAGACGGACAGTGGACAGTCCTCTATGGTGATCTAAGCATTATAAGACTCAGATTGATATAAAAGGCTATCATCAACACAATAAAGTTCAGATTTCACAGGACTTAGGTTGCATTGCATGTGGATATTTTGTCATTTGAAAATCTGAAATGGATGGGAACAAATTATTTTCATTTTGCTGGAAAAATATTGCCTATTCAAAAAATCCTAAAAGATATACATAATTTCTATTGAAAGCATAGCGTGGAGCCAATCTTCAAGGATTCAAATAGAATCAATAAAAAATCTTCTAAATAACTGAACAAAATCCTACTGGATAAACTAGCATACTGCAGGATTTTAAATAATTGTCATTTGATATTGTTTAATCTTTATCATAATTCTGTTAGAGTTTTAAAATCATGAAAGATTGTGCTCTAAAATGCTCTAAATTATCTGTCTAGTTTTTCTGTGTGTGTTATGTTGGAAAAAGACAATTACCACTCTGATTTTTTAGTAATTTGGTACCTTTAAAGAAAATTGCTCGTACAAAATAGCTCACACAAACAAACAAATATATTTTTTAAATAATTTAAATATTTATTTTTTCACATTTTTACATAGTTTATTACTTCAGAAAGCAAGCATAACTGAAACTTCATACCTTCATTTCCACATCTCCTCGCAGCTGGAGATCGAAATAGCCAAACTCATCCAGCACCTCTTTGGTGGCTGTAGACACATGTATCCTCAGAGCTGTGGAGGAAATGATCATCATTAATAGGAAGATGAAAACTGTCATCATTTACTCAACCTCAAGTTTTTTCTGTACAACATAAAAGGGCATATTTTGAAGAATGTAAAAGCTGCTCATTTCCATACAACAAAAACATACAGTGAGTGAATATGTGCAAGCATAATGAGATCTGAGGTGAGATGTGGGAAGATATTTTTGAATGAATAATAGCTTAAATTGCACCACACAAACTGCTGAGTGATTTTAGAAGACTGTATGGATTACTTTTACAGTGTGATACCTTTATGTTTTGGCCACTATGCTGTCGTTGTACAGGGAAATCTCCCTGTTCACTAGTAGAAAGTCATATGAGTTTAAAATGAAATGAGGGTAAGTAAATGAAGACCAAGCCAAGACCAGACAATCGATACAAAGTGCACAGCTGTGAGTGAGATGACACCTTGATAAAAGATGATTCGCCAATTTTAAGAACACACTACACATACTATATGGGCAATGACCAAACTGTCCTGTCTATGGGAGGAACAACATACTGCTCTTAATCTGAAATAGGCTCCATAATGTGTGGGCTCCTTATGGCTAAGTGTGCATTAAGCTCCAACAAGCGGTAACCATATTGTTACATGTTATAAATCAAACCGGAAATCGGATACTGGTTCCTTGGCACTAATTATTGATTATTAATAAAGTCGATACTTGTGGTAAGTGTCGAATCACAGCTGTTACTTGCGAATATGTGAAACGCATATTAAAGTACATGTACACAAGTATACAACACTATTGAGCAGCATTGTTCCAAACCCTAGTGAGCTGCCTCGCTGTCTACTGTCCACATAGGCACCTACCTTCTATAGCATCGTCCAAACCAACATGTGACACTGAAGACCAGAGCTGTACTGTATTTAATCAAATAAATGCAGCCATGGGGAACGGTACTATATAACTGCCGTTTCTTTCAACTCTGTATTCCATGAATACAATTAATCTCTGCTGACAGACATGTCATCATCTACATGCCAGGAACACACCAATGATGTCTTAAAATGTTGTCTTGGTAGGCAGCTCACTAGGTTTTCGAACAAATATTGCACCACATATAATGGCAGGTGCCTGTGCTTTTATAAAAGTTGCAAGTTTTGTTTATGTACACTACTGTCCAAAAGTTTGTAGCAAGATGTTGTACTGTGTTTGAAAGAAGTCTCTTAAACTCACCAAAGCTACATTTATGTGAACAGTAATATTGTAAAATATTATTTAAAATTAAAACAACTGTCTTCTATTACAATGTATATTAAAGTGCAATCTTTGATGGCAAAGCAGAATTATTACCAGCCATTACTCCAGTCTTCAGTGTCGCATTATCCCTCATAATACACTGATGCACAAGAAACATTTCTTATTATAATCAATGTTGCTTGATATTTTTCAGGATTCTTTGATGAATAGAAAGTTCAACAGTACTTATTTTATTTTTTGTAAAAATGTTAAAGTCTTTACTGTCACTTTTGATCTATTTAATGCATCCTTGCTGAACAGAAGTATTCATTTCCTTCACACACAAAAAAACTAATCGTATTTAAATATATCAAAATCACAAAACAAGGATTAATCTCATGCTGCATTGTCAAAGTGTGGGGAAAAAATCTGCATTCTGAACAAAGATCAAAAACATATTTCTGACACAAACCTTCCCCTGTAGACTCCATGCGGGATGCCGTGTTGACAGTATCTCCAAATAAACAGTACCGGGGCATCTTAAGACCCACTACACCAGCACAGACAGGGCCTGCTCAACACACACACATGCAGCAGAGAGGGAGATTAATACACTGCAGGAATCCAGAAACTGCTTATATGCAATCTTAATGCTTCCTGACAGGTTAAAAAAAATCAACTGAACAAAAGCTGCAATGAGATCACATATACTGTATATGACATAAGCACCTTATATCTCAAATTCCTATCTACTTATATATAAGAAATGCACGGACATACTCCAGTGGAATCAGAAACAGAAAATATTAACGCTGCAAAAATCCTTACATACAAATCCTGTTTTTTTATGGCTACTCAGAAACAAAGAGACAAAGTTGACAGCAACCTCTGAACATTTTCTTATGGGTTACTGTACAAATATTCATATGCATTTGTTATACACAGTAATTACTTAGCCTTAACTTGCCATGATTTTCTCAACACTAATAAATAAACACTTTAAAGACTTAAAATGAATGAAACAGTAACAATACCTGTGTGGATTCCTATTCGCAGCCGTAGCTGATCGTTGGGTCTATGTCTGATTTTGAATGTTTTAACCTGTTCCAGCAAAGCCAATGACATGCTGGCTATCTCACGTGCATGTAGCTTCCCGTTCCTCACAGGCAGACCTGAGACCACCATGTATGCATCACCGATTGTCTCCACCTGCAAAAATTAAAGACATTTTTGCACAATTCTAAGCCTTCAAAAAAGCTGATGAACGTTATGATGAAAGATGAAAGTAATAATGACTAATTATAATACAATTATTTATGAAAAAATACAATGATTGCACTGCCTATTAAAGACACTCACCTTATATACATCAAAATTATCAATGATGGCATCAAAGCATGTGTACAGATCATTCAACAGTGTCACCACCTGAATAGAGTAACAGGAAAGAATTTTATACAAAATTACAATTTTACAAAAATTGTTAAAAAACCATCAAGAATATATGCATCTTTATTAAAGGGATAGTTCAACCAAAAATGAAAATTCCGGCATTAATTACTCACCCTCATGTCGTTCCAAACCCGTAAGCAAGGTTATTTTCGTAAACTAAAACTAAGACGAAAACGATTGATCAAAAAACATTTTCGTAAACTGAAATAAAATAAAAATATCAAAATAAATGAAAAACTAAAACGAAATGAAACTAACAACAGTTATGGAAAAACTAACTGAAATAAAATAATAATTATCAAAAATACATAATCGTTTTAGTAATCATTACGTTCTCACCCCGTGGCGGAAAAATATACGAGCTGTGGCGGTTTAGGAAAATACCTGTAAATGGCACATCATGCACGTGAGGTTATCTGACGGAGAGACACAAAGCAGTTTAAAGGGTCATGAAACCCCCCCCCCCCCCGCTTTCCACCCGGTTTCTCACCACAGATTTAAAAAATGCTAAAAAAGTGGGCGTGGTGCGCAGCGGAGCGGAGGAGGGGGAAGAGGGGAGACAGACAAACAACACACACAGCTTCGCATTCAGACAGTTTCATTTCGCTCCCATCGAGTTAAAAGCACAAATAAATGCACAGCCATTTGCACTCTGCATCGAAAACATATGAACGCGCTGTTGCACCTCTAAGAACTTTTAAGGCTTATTCTGTGGCGTTTATATAAGCCTTTTGACGGGTTGTGTCACATAGCTGTAAAAACGGTTATGCTCACCAAGTGAATGAATCGCGTTTGTGCCAACCTCTTATTACAAACCAAAAACAAACACTCTTCTTCCATCCATGAACGTTTCTCTCAGTTAACATACGCGATGTCATCTCACAGTCTGAAACCTCTGTCATAGCAAATCAGCACATGCTGTTGTGAATAATTAAGCGAAGCCTCTTCTCATAGGATAAGAACACGCAGTCTCATGAATAATTTAATAGACACCGACGCGTCATCGATGTACTATAGTCCATTGCCACGTCACAAATTTTGACGTCAACACAATGTAGATTTTAAACCGGAAGATGAAAATAGCGCAAAAAAGCTTAAAATTAACCAGTTTTCTCCAACAGTTAAAATTATCGGATGCTAACATTGTCTTCTATGATGTGCAACACAAACACCTCTGCTAAAATCTCAGAAAAAGTAGTCTGGGGTTTCATGACCCTTTAAAGCAGAGCACTGCAATGCTGCGAATCGAATGTTGAGGTTCTGCCATTATTATTGAATTTCATTAGTCCCAGTTATGATTTATGCGCGAAAGTAAGCAAGACACGACAGGCTACAGTATCATGATTATGGTTAAATAAGATAAAAGATATCTAATATAAACAAATGAAATTACATTAATTTTCGAATTAAATATCACAACACACATTTATTGTTTTTAATTATGATAATGTAAGCGCAACTTGTGTAGATTTATGGCGTAAAAAGGCTTGACTGCTTCATTTTGGCGTATATTTGTATACTTTTACCCTAATCAATCTCAGCATGATTTAATTGCTTCACTAAGGTTAAATTAAGTCTTTCTTTGGTCAGCGCTCTGGAAGTGATCTTTTAATTATGCTAAATTTTAATTATAAAACTAAAACTAAAACTGAAACTAAACTATATAAAACCTAAATAGAAATGTGTTCACAAAATAAAAACTAAACTAAAACTAACAAAATTATTAATGAAACTAATAAAAACGAAACCAAATTTTGGTGCAAATTTGAAAATGATATTAAAATGCAAAACTATAATAACCTTGCCCGTAAGACCTTCGTTCATCTTCGGAACACAAATTAAGATATTTTTGATGCATTCCGAGAGCTCTCTGATCCTCCCATAGACAGCAAGGATCCTTACACGATCAAGGCTCAGAAATGTAGCAGGGAGATCATTAAAATAATCCATGTGACATCAGTGGTTCAACCGTAATTTTACGAAGCTATGAGAATAATTTTTGTGCGCAAAGAAAACAAAAATAACTACTTTATTCAACAATTTGTCTCCTCCGCGTAACCCTGTATCACCATTTTGGAGAGTATCACATAAGTAAACAACGTATGCTGTTCTGTGTCAGCAGCACCGTACGCGAAAACGCTGTTTACGTTGTTTACGCTTTGATCTGAACGTAAACAACTTACATATAAAAACGAGTATAATATAATAACGAATAAAGTCGTTATTTTTGTTTTCTTTGCGCACAAAAAGTATTCTCGTAACTTCGTAAAATTACAGTTGAACCACTGATGTCACATGGATTATTTTAACGATGCCCTTGCTACGTTACTGAGCCTTGATCGTGTAAGGATCCTTGCTGTCTATGGGAGGGTCAGAGAGCTCACGGAATGCATCAAAAATATCTTAATTTGTGTTCCGAAGATGAACAAAGGTCTTACAGGTTTGGAA